ACCCATGTTTAGTGGCACAGTTTGTAATAGCTAAAACTTGAAAACTGCCCATTTGCCCATCAGTTGTAAACTGGATAAAGAAGATGTGGTTTTTCTATAAAATGGAACACTACTCAGCCATAAAGAATGATAAATTAGATTCATCCATAGGAAAATGGATACATATTGAGGATATACTCCTAAGTGAAATAAATAAGTCACACATGTGTAAATACCGAATAGTCTCTCTGGTGTGAAAAACTATAATAGTACATAAGATCCTATTGATATAATTGACCATGTGAAATAGGAAGAAAAGGGCTAAAGGTGTAGGGAAAATGGGAAGGATAGGGTAAAGGTAATAAGGGAAAAGAAAAAAATATGACAAAATGACAAAATGGAATGGAAATAAAGTGTTTGCAAATGGGGAGGAGAGGAGGGGGTGAAGGGAAGGCATGGACAAGGGGAAAAAAATGAGAACAAAGACCTGTCATGTAAAGGTACAAGATCCTAATAATGAACGTAATTGTACTGTATACCTTAATTGTACCAATAAACTCAATTAATAAAAAAAACTGTTGTGTTTCAAGAATAAGTGGGTAAATTAATAATGGAATCTGTCAAAGGTAAAAAATGAGTCCCAATCTTATGTCCCATAAAAGCAATTTGAATGGTTTCTCTGGTGTGAATAAACTATAATAGTACACAAGATCCTAATGGTATGATTGACAATGTGAAATAGGAAGAAAAGGGCTAAAGGTGTAGGGAAAGTGGGAAGGGTAGGGGAAAGGGAAAAGGAAAAAGGAAAAAATATGAGAAAATGAAAAAAATGGAAATAAAGTTTTTGTACATGGGGAGGTGAGGAGGGGGTGAAGGGAGGGCAGGGACAAGGGGAAAAAATGAGAACCAAGACTTGTCATGTAAAGGTACAAGATCCCAATAATGAATGTAACTGTACTGTATACCTAAAATGTAAATAAACTCCATTAAAAAAAAAATTACTCCTGACAAAGGGCCTCGGTGGCAACCCACTTCCGTAATCCCCTCCTGTCTCTCAGTAGCTTTCTCTCAACCTTTCCTACTCTCAACCTCTTTGATTTCAGGGACACGAACTTGGCACATATGACATTTAGCAGGTTGGGAGTTGTATTTCTCATACCAGTGTTTGGGAAGAAGTTAAGCAGTGGGCATTGCTCTGATGGTCAACAACCAGACAGAGGTTGTGCTCTAAAACATTGAACCAACTGTTGATGGAGGTGTATGTGTAGGAGAATGTGTTCAAATTTCACACTATTTTCAAGTCTTGCCAAGGTGTTTATTGTTTTTTGTTGTTGTTGTAATGGGGATCGAACTCAGGACCTTGTGCCTGCAAGGCAAGAGTGGTGCCACTGAGCTAAATCCCCAGCCCCTTCCCAGGTTTTTTTTTAACTGGGCCCTTTTGAGTTTGGTTTTCATCCATAGTTCCTGGTTCACTACTCATAACCCTTATCACTTTTAAATTCACTAGAATAATGTTGAGGCACTTTAGGCCTCAGAAAGCTCTCCTCCTCCCCTCCTCTTCCTCCCCTCCCTCTTCCTCCTTCCTTCATCTTCAATATTTCCTGGTCCTTTTTCTCCCCAAGGTAAGAAATAAAAACTAGAATGTCTTTTCCCTGAGGTGAATCATAGAAATTATAATTTTCCCCTATTTTTCCTAAAGCTGGCCATAAAGAAATATTCTGACCTACTTTCTCTGAGAGAAGCACATGAAATCCTTGTCCAGAATGGTCTTGCCTCATACTCATAAGGAAGAAAGGCTGAAGAATTTGAGCGAACAGGACTTGCTGATGGTCTTCCTCCAGTCTATTATCAATAATGCCTATGCAATGAAGCCTTCATAAAAACCTCAAAGGACAGGATGTAAAGAATTTCCTGATAGTTGAACATATGAATATTCTACACCTGGAGAGGGCATGAAATTTCTGTGCTTCTTCCCCTATACCCTTGCCCTATGCATCTCTTTATCTGTGTCCTTCACAATATCCTTTAAAATAACCCAGTAAACATGTTTGTAATTTCTGTAAGCCACTCAAGAAAATGAATCAAATCCAAGGGTTGGGTAGTGAGAACCCCAGTTAATATTTGTTTTGTCAGAAGCGCAGGTAAAACAACCTAGATTGATTAGCACCTGAAGCAGTAGTGGTGTAGCAGTCTTGGGGACTGAGCAATTCTAACTTGTGGATCTGATGTTATCTCCAGGTAGTGACAGAATTGCCTGGAGTTGGAGTTACTCAGCCTGTGTCTCTATAGAATCGCTTTTTTTTTTTTGCTTACTGGTGGGGAGTAATTGACACATATGGTGGGACCACACAAGTTTTCTGTGTTGATTGTTGTGATGTGAGAGTACAGGAAAACAAAACAAAACAAAAAACCCTTTCCCAGCTCAGTAACCTAAGCATATGCACACAGACTCAGGGGTAGTCAGGAAATGGTGAGTCACTTGGAGCCTATCTGGCCTCTGCTGCACAACCTCAGTCCAAAATATAGCTGCTCCACCAGGACCACAACATTAGGATTGCAGGGCCAGCCTTGACATTCTCCCTTTGGCCAGCTTCCAGGATGTCATTTCTGTTTAAAATGTTTCTGGGATGTGTGTAACCTACTCTTTCAAATTGAATGAATCTTCTTCAGAGGACAGAGAGGTCAATCCTGAAAACACTGAAGTTTTCAATCTTTAAAATTTACATTTTATTTACATATTTTTGGTACTGGGGATCAAACTTAGGACCTTGTGCTTGTGAGGCAGGTGGCAGCACCACTGAGCTAAATCCTTGGCCCTTAAAATTACTTTCTTTTATTTATTTTTCAGCACCAGCAATCAATCTCAGGAGCTTGCACTTGAGAGGCAGGCAGTGGAACCACTAAGCTAAATCCCATCCCTTAAAATTACATTTTAAATAATTTTTTTCATTCTTAAGTCCTTTTGGTTCATCTATTAGTAAATCGGAAATTACTAGATTATAGGAATAATATGTCAATGATCTAATTTCTGAACTCTGAAATGCCTTCTTCCCAAACTATGGATGATACTTTATGAATACAAATTTGTAGAACACACATATCCTTCAGCTAATGTAGCATTACTATCTTTAGAGTTGTAGAATTGTTCAAAGCCCTTGATTTTTGTTCCTTTGTAGCCAACTTAGTTTTCCTTCTTGTATCCTTAAAGCATGGTCATGAGTTTAATCGAGCCATTCAGAACAGGTCAAACTGAAAGGTTCTGTGCTTAGAATGAGGATTATCAACTGTTCCTGGCAGAAAACCTCACATATGAGAACTTGTCTTACCCATAAACTCTCTACATTTTGGGGTCTGAAAACACATCAGATGAGATACAAAAACATGGGAGTTACTTATACTGTACATACCCTGAAGGGATGCAGCAAAAGTGAAAAAAAAAAAAGAGAATGAAGAGTCCATTAAAAATACTCTTTAAGAATGCTCAATTTACAGGGAAAAGGATGAGGAAAGATAAGCAGTGTGGACAGCAAGAAGTGAGAGAATAAAATGTATGTTAGGTAGCCAGCATTCTACCTCATCCCATCATGTTCTCATGTCTTGTTCAGTTAACACTATTAAAAGAAATCTCAGCTCAACTTTCAGTGAAAGACACTATAATTTGTATTACTACATTAAAATGATTAGCATGTTTTACCAGTTATTCAGAATGTATGAGCTTGCCTTAGTTGAGTAATAAATGACAGTTATAGATCCTAAGTACTTACTGATAAGTAAAACAAAAATGAAGAGATGAACCGAAGGTGAGCTAGAGAAAAAAGGAGGAGAGAATAAAGCCAAAACTTATATAAATAAAAAAAGAAAAGCAAAGAAAAACTACAGAAATTTCAGTGGCAAGAAGTAAAGTTAACTAAAAATTTTTCCATAATTTCCAAAACTTGAAGCGAACAAGTTTTTGGCAAGTGAGTAGTAGATCCACACATGAAATATTTAGCCCTAAAAAAAAGGGTTAGCAAGCCATGAAACACATGGAGGAAATGTATAGAATACAGTAAGTTAAAGAAGCCAACCTGAAAAGGCAATATGTTATATGTGTCATTTAATCTTAATTATCAACTTGACTGGATTCATAGACTGCTGGAGAGGTGGCTGGATCATGGGGGGACTAAACTCACTGGCGGATCAGTCCACTGAAGTACACAGCTGAATGTGCTCTTCAAAGGTGGGGGTCACCCTTCTCTTGTGCTCCTGCTTCCCAGCTGCCATGGAATGAGAATCAGTCAACTGTGAGCTGAAACCTCTCAAACTATAAGCCAAACCATCTCCTCCTTTAAGTTGTAGGTGTCAAGTATTTTGTCTCAGCAAAAGGAAAGCTGACTAATGTACTATATGATTTTAGTTATATAACATTCAGAGCAAAGAAAAACTATATAGGGATGTAAATATATTAGCAGTTGTCAGAGGTTAGAAAGAAAAGAGACGTGAATAGGCAGATCAGAGATTTCTAGGGCAGTGAAATTCTTCTGTATGTTACTACAATGATGGATACATGTTATTCCTAAAGATATTTGTCAAAAAACCATAGACTATACAACATCAAGAGTGAATCCTAATGTCAACTACGGACTTCAGATAATGATGGTAAAAGTTCATCAATTACAACAAACATACGACTACTCACGAGAGACACTCATAGTGGAGTCAGAGGACACAAGAACCCTAAACTTTCTGCTCAATTTTGTTATGAACCTAAAACTGGTAAAGAAAAAAATTTAAAAATTGTAGGTCATGACACTCAACTATGACTAGATATTTATCATTTCTTTCAAATTCAAAGATACAAGTATTAATTATCTCAACATTTAACTGCTTGTTTCTTCTAACAAAACAACACAATTATTTAATTAAAATATGTAACTTTACCCCAAATAATTTTGTCAAGATTTAGAGCATTTTCAACCATAATTTAAGGAACATCAGAGAGAAAAGGGTCAGGGATACAATTAAAACGATAGACATTTATTATAAATTAACAGTTTTGGTGTTTCACAATTGGAGACAACAGTGTGTTAAGATAGAGCATTGAACTTAGACTCTAGATAACCTGATCTTTTACTTATTAACTAATTACCAGTATCTATCAATGTCATAAATGTTTTGTTAAGATTAAATAAAGATAATACATCACAAGTCTGGTACTCAATAAAAAGTTTCAATCAAATTTAATTTCTTTTATCACCAAAAAGTATCATATTGTCCCCTTACTCTTAGGTGTCTTTATTTTAATACAAAATAAACACACGCCTTGTACAAGTTATATTTATAGGTAAATATTTCTTCAGTCATCACTATCACTTCCCGAGTCACTCAGCTGCAAATCATTACCTAAAATAAAAAAGAACAAAGCAGTAATTAAATATTTAAAATATTAATATAAACTTTTTTTTTTATTGAGTTTATTGGTACATTTAGGGATACAGTACAGTTACATTCATTGTTGGGATTATGTACCTTTACATGGCAAGTGGCAAG